GTTTTTCTTTAATAACACATGTTTTTTATGTTCTATATAACAAATTATTGCCTACCCTAATCTTGCCAAACACTGTACTGTGTTTTCTTCTAGTAGCTTTGTAGTTTTAGCCTCAACGTTTAGATCTGTGATTCAAGGTGAATTACTTTCTTGTGGACGGTATGAAGCAGGAGTGGAGGTTTCTTTTTCTCATGTGTGCTCTGCCTCTTTTTAAATATTTTTATGACTCTTTCTACTCTGCCCCTTTCTCACATCTCTGCCTGCGTCCTTTCCCTCTCCTGCCTCTGCTCCAGATGCAATTGTGCGTCTCTGACCCTGGGCCTTCTCTCTCCTCGGCCACCCCCACCACCTGCGTTTCTGTCTCTCTTCCCCAGTGAGCCTTTGCAGCTTTTTCTCTTTTGTCTCTACAGTTTTCCCTTCTGGCTCTCTCTATATCCATGTTTTTCCAGTGTCCTACCTTCTCTGCCTCTTTGTGTATTTTTTTTTTTTCTTTATCTCTTTTGCCACAGAAACTAGACATCCTTTCTTGGTTAATAAATGTCACCTGGCGTCAGGTACTGGTCCAGTCCCTGCCCTCACTCATTGGCCTCCTGGAACCTCTGCTGTGGACATGGACATGGCACCGCCCTCACCCCCTCCCTGTACGTGCTAAACTCACAAAGGGTCTGAACCATCAGTCCTCCTCACCTGCTTGTTCAGATCCATGGGCACATTCATTAGTCGTTTCTTGGGATCTTAATGCATCATTTGGGTTGTTGGATGAATCTTCTTCCCTTCCATCTGTCTGGTTCCCAGCACGGAGATGCTCTGGGATTCTAGCCATAGGTGAGGATACCCCTAGACCACATTAGGAATCAGAAAAGATTTATTTTTCTCTTCCTCTCATAGTGAACCTCTTTTGCTCTCTACTCATAACTATTACTAATCCTTCCATCCACCCGATTCTCATTCCCACAACCCCTAGTAGTAGATGAATCTGTAAGTATATTTTTGATGTACTTTGCACTTTTTAGTGTACATTTTATACTTTTAACAATTTGCCTTTAGTCAAAATCATTATGGAACAGGAAATAAAGGTGGCAATGACCAATC